CCAATTTGGTCGAAAGACTTTAAGTTTTTCTTGCTTCAATTAATCTATTTTGGATAACTTTGAGATATTATACATAATAGTGTGGTCGAAATTTGACTATAATTATCATTGAAAATTTGAGGAAAACATATATTATGCATTTTCATGTTTATAATATTTTGTTTATTCTTATACATTTATTCATTGTATATCTTTGACCATACACTTTTATGTGCACTTACAATACAACATAGTTCAGTACCATTGTGATTAAATAAAACATAAATTCAATAAAACAACAGTAACTCACAATTTAAACCCCATTATTTATTGATATATGAAACATAATTTAAATTTTGAGACCCCTAAAAAAGGGGGGGGATTGGGTGTCGGTAACCCCCATCACTCTACGATACCCAACCTCAGCTGGCACCGTGTCATGAACCATATCGAAAGTAATCATTAACAGCCCAGAAAATGTATAAAAGAGGGGTGGGGGAAGGAGGTCTGTCTACTCTTCGAATGTTTCTAATTTTTTTAATTATCTATATAACCAATATCTCAAAACTCGAATTATGAAAAAAATGTTTTACCTCCACCTACACTTGGGGGGGAGGGCGAATTCACAAATTCAACTAAATTTAGAGGGGTGTGAAGCGACTTGTCCTTTGGGAGGTGTCTCAAAGTCCAATCCATCGTACCCGAAATTCATTTTCCCCTGGGGGACCGGTTTCGAAGTTTGTTCACTTCATCATCAGGCACGCCTACTGGGTAAGAGAATAGAGGGAATTGGTGAGTTTAACTAAAAAATGATGGAATATTGATTTAATTTAAGTGAAATTAACAAAACTAATCTACTAATACCACTAATATTTATTTATTCGCACTAACAAAAATTATTAATCAAATAAATGTACTAACAGAATGAAAAAACCGAAAATGAGTAAAAAGGTGAAACAAGAAAAAATTTGTTAACGAATATTAAAAAACAAACCATCAACATCAAAATGGTAAAAGATAAAGAAAAGACTATATAATATAATAAATAACACAAAAAACTCACCATAATCTCTTATTCACTAGGGATAAAACTACTGGATTACAATCTTAAAGGAATCGAAACGAACTGAACATTTATTATTTTTTAAAAAAGCATTGGTATTTGTCTAGGGTTAAAAACATATTAAAATATAAACATGTGAAAATATCGATACTAAAAAAAATTTATGAGCCTACATTACAAAGTCAAAAAACTGCCAAAGTTTTTACTCATTTTCGGTTTTTTCAGTTAGTACATTAATTTGATTAAGAATTTTTGTTAGTGTGAATAAATAAATATTAGTGGTATTAGTAGATTAGTTTTGTTAATTTCACTTAAATCAAGATTCCATCATTTTTTAATTTTTGCTAACAACTTAAAACTCACCCATTCCCTCTCTTTATCTTACCCACTAGATGTGATGATGAAGTGAACAAACTTCGAAACCGGTCGCTGTTCAAATACAATTTTCTTTGTGAGATACAAAGGACCTGTTTTCATTCTTTTTCCCATATTTAATCCAAAAACTCACACTACAAGTTTTAATTTAGATTATAGAACAGAGTAATTAATATTATTTTATATTATCATGTTGTTCCTTTTCGTTTCCCAAAATTTGTTATTTTCATTATTTATAAAGTGTTTGTACCTATCACTGCATATTGTTTTGCTACAAGAATATATTATTTGTAAATAAAGAAATATTATTTCTTATAATTAAAGTATTTACTATTTGTGAATAATCCTTTGTTTTCCATCGTAAAATCCAGTTTTTCACATTGTTACATCTTCTTAAAATTCGTTTTTTTTTGCGTATAAATATAAGTATATTTTGTAAACAATTCTCTTGTTATAAGCGAGGTTTAAAGTTCGTCTAGTCTCGGCTTTTGGCGCTTTTGACTTTATTTCCTTGCAGGTATTGTAACGCGAAGAGACGTTCCCTATGGAAAATTTTGAGCTTATTGCGAAAACATATCGTTCGTCTTCACCAGCCGTGTGTTATATTAAATAGGTCGACAAACACAGAGATAACTCTTGATAGGGACGTATCTCGAATATCATCTACTTCAGCCATACTTAACCTGCAGCCCGCGGGCCGCATGCGGCCCTCTAAGCATTTTTTGTGGCCCGCAACACTATTATTGGTCGCAGCGCTAAATAGCATGCTAATTTTTAAATAAAAGTTCGGAATTTTGTAGGGTTACTGCAAAAACAAGAAAGCTTCACTTTTGGAATTTTCGAGTTAAGCAGGTACACTTTGTACAAGTGTGAAAGAAGTATATATTCATGATAAACAGATAGCCAATAAAAACTAACTCCATCTTAATATATTAACAATATGGACAAACAAGATGGAGTGGGATTTATACTAAAACATAATCATAACATTGTGTTCAATTGATAAGTGTGTCTACCAAAACCAGATAATAGGCATATAACTTATTTTTGCTAAATATATTTAGTCCGATTCTTAATAGTGTTCCTGCCAAAATAAGATAAAGGTCAGAACCGAGGGGAAACCAATAAGGTCAAAACGTACCTGTATTTCGGAAATCACAAAAAATTTCTATGTAATTTAGGTGATTTCACTGAAAATCCACCTTAATTTTATACGATGATCTTTTTTTCTCGTCATTTCTGGTTGTGAGCGACGAATCGATTTCGACCATGATTTTAGATGGAATTTTCGAGAAAATGTGTAGTGATTTCGTGTGAAAACGTACCAGTATTTCGGGAGTGGTTTGCCGCTACTTATTTTTATTGAATGTGTTTGATTACAACATTGTGCCCACGCCATTTGGTGATGTTCGAATCTCCGTGGTGGATGAGTGATTGGTCAAGATGTAACGGGTGATTGGTCAAGATGTAACGGATGATTGGTCAAACTGTAACCAGTGATTCGTTAAGCCGTAACGAGCAAATCTTTATGTGAAAATTCGTAAATAAAAGTTTTAGTGGTAACAGGCGAATTTGAATTTTAACCATATTTTCTAATAGACAACGTATCGAACGATTCAGCTATCCTACATTCCACCAGAAAATAGTATATTATGCAACGATCATGTAATGATGGTTATTAATACACGAGCATTAACCGGGATACGAAACGAGCCAAAGGTGAGTTTCGTATGGTTTATGCGAGTGTTCTAATAACCATTACATGAGAGTTGCATACGCTATTTTTTCTACACCCGATAAATAATGAAGACCCATAAATATTACATTTATATTGGTATTGAACACAATAACAGTAATTACTCGTATTTCTATAAAACATTCTACAAAATTGTAATTAATGGTATTACTTCGGGTATTGGCATTTCTCCAGATTTTTGCGGCAAAATATTTTTTACTATATTTTCTGCTTTCTCCGATATGTGTGGAGGAGTTTTCTATATCGCTGATATCGGACATTTTAATATTATAATTATCGAAGTTTAGCTATCTACGAAAATTTAATACATTTTGACAACTAAAACAATTACATAGGAACCTAAGACAAACGTCAAACAGCATGCTTGATTGAAAAATTGTAGGTTTCTATTGATTAAAAATCTGTATCGTAATGAAAAATCTGTATCATAATGGGTATCATTATGAAACAGATTATGGGCATATAAGTGCATTATTATAATACGGGTGTAGAAAAATATATTTAATTTATCAATGGGCGAGGGTGGAATTCGGCTTAATATGAAACAAAGTTTTGAAAATACTTGCAAAAAGTGCAAGAAGAAAGATTTACTCAAATTTTGCAAAATCAGATACACATGATGAATTTCACCATTATCACAATCTACCTGTATCCAATAATGTTACTAAAACTTCAACTGAAGATAGTGACACATACATTGAATTATGATTTGTATGCAGAGCTAAAATAAGCCAAGTGACGTTTTTTCTCTTTTTTGCCAATTATTGATAGATTATTAGTTTATACTTTATGAACAATGTTTGCAATACCTTCTTCATAGAAGTTATTAAACGATTTGAAGTTTTTACTGATTTTTTATTCAGTTTTAAACGTTTGCATAGTAATTTATCGAAACTATAAAAATGTGAGTTATCTTGTTGTTGCAGTAACGCAAAGGGATATATTTATGTTTTGTGTTTTATTTATTAGATGTCTCCACTAACCAATTTCAGATAGATGGTCTAAAAAAAGGTTATCATCCAAAAATATTGCGGCCCGTGTAACATAGCACATATACGAATGTGGCCCGAAGGAAAAAAAGGTTGAGTATGGCTGGTCTACTTCATACTGTCATTTGGAAAAGCGCCGTTGCCAAATTTACCATTTAGAAGATAATTTAGGGAGTGAATAAAGTTATGGGTTCATTAGCTAACGAGATTTTAACAATCGTTCTTGCAACCGGCTGTATATCCCGCAAACAGCCAACTTTACCGATTTTGGAAAGGGTTTATTATTATTTAGAAACCTACAGGAATAAAGATTAAAAAACCATAAAGTACGATGAGAAAAAGTTGTGGTTATTTTAATTTGGAAAGAGTTCAAAACTGAGCTCCTCCTAGCGGTTACCATAAAATCGTGTCCATTATAAGGTTTCTCATGCCAAAAAACCACCGTATACAAATTTTTAATGCAATATATTAAAACATGTTTACGATATTTAAAAAAACGTATTTTAAAATTTAATTTAAACACCTTGTATCTCTTAAACTAAGCGTTAAACTTTTTGTATTAATTTTAAAAGTTCAATCAATTGTTAAATTCCTGCTTCAAAAAAAAAAAAACGAAACAACCCGTATATTTTTAATATTATTTATTTGTTTATAATCGATTTTTTGCGTCTCTGTAAAATGCATATTTATTATTCATAAAATGTTTAATAGTTAAAAAAAGTCAGATCAAAAACACTATTATAAAATATTGTAGCCACGCTGTATCTACGTCAATTGTTCTTCAAAATATAAATAAAATACTTCTTTGAGAAAAAATTAATAGAAGAAAAAAAAATACCTTGGAAATTGTGGACCAAACTGCGTATAACAGCAGTTGTCCCAACAGCCCCTCGAAAAAGGGTTGTAGCCGCCTTTGAATTTGCCAGTGACCTGCTCGTTCGTCGTCCGACCCCTGGACACCAAAACCATGTGAAACCCCGTCAGACCGAATATCGGTATCGACAGTAACGCCACCAACGCCATCAGTACCATACTGAACAAGACATATGTTAAGGAAAAAAAAGTTTATATTTATTTATCGTGGGGAAAAAATTAAAACATAGTTTACAGAGTTGATTAACTCGATAATTGTGATTTAGATTGGATTGTAAAGTTTGCGCATATCAAGCCGCCAATTTATTGGGATTGTTGTACTTCTGAGTCGCTAAATTGTCTTTTCTGTATGCATAAAAATATGACGGTTGTACATACAGTTAGACTTTAAATTTAAATAAAGGATGTATGGTAAGGTTTGAAAAAAATTATACATTAAGAAATTGTGTCGATTTTTACATGTTAAATCGACAAAAGTATTTTTGGTAATTTGTTAATATTTGCATATTATGAAAATTTTTCATTCCGTACGAAATTTTCTTCTTGTTTCAATGATGGAAACCATTACTAACTTCTGTAGTTTTCGAGTAATACACGTACCTATAAGTGATGGTGTTCTTTTGTAAAATAAGAGATTAAAAAACCTAAAAAAAATTATTTTTTTAATCTATTCCATGTATTTTGGTCTCAAAAACACGAGTTTTCCATCAAAACTATTGTTGGGTTTCTTATTTTTGCGATATATCCTAAAAACTGGTTTTCCTAGTAGGTAGTTCAAACATTCATTAGAAAATTATTTTGATATTTTGAATAGAAGTATTACTTTTGCAAAATCTGTCTCGCAAGTTTTTCACCTGTAAATGCCATTTTTTTAATTTTTTTTTAGTTTTCTAGATATTTACGTAAATAGAGGTGATGTTCCCTTGAAAACTAAGAAAAAAAATACAAAAATCATAAAGCGTTTAAAATGTTTTTTTTTTACTCTATTCCATGTATTTTCAATTAAAACTTTTGTAGGGATTCTTGTTTTTGTGGTATCTGCTAAAAAGTGGTTTGACCTAGTATGAGTGTTATCTCTAAAATTAGATTAATAGAAAATTTTGTTCTCTTTCCAACGGTGAAAAACCATTATTTTTACCTTTTATTTTTCATGATATTTCGTTTTATATTACAGGATCGTAATCAAAATATTTAAAACAGCCTGTACACTAAAATTTATTACTTTCCATACCTTTATATCTGAACAAATCCTGCAGTGTATTTAATTAAGTTACGCGGAGTTAATACTAGCAAAGTCAACAAACAGTCGCTCATTTCGATTATAAAAAAGGCTAACCGTTTTTATCAATAAGGAAAATAGATATAAAAAACCCAGAGATAAATCGCTTCTATTAGTTGAATCAATTTTCGAATAATTCTGATGATTACACAATTACAAAACTAAAAGTACAGAGCGTCCTAAAAAATGTTTGCACATTGTAATTTTTTTATAAAATACTTGTTATTGACGTTATTTGAAAAAGGATACGCAATAATTGGTTGAGGTTTCGTATAGTTGTCCCCTCCCTTTAGTATAAAGATCAGACTCAATGTGAATATACTTATCATGTGTATACTTAATGATATGAGGAAGAAGAAGAAGAATCTGTAGTTTCTTCTTCCGATGCAATTGTTGACCCAAGGACAGTGGTGATCAAACGTCTGAAAAAAAATGGTAAAGATTTGGAATACAGGGTGTTCCGTAGTGATATTACAATATTTTAACACAGTGTTCTACCAACCATTTAAGGGAGATTTTATTTTTAATTTTGAAATTTGGGTCCTTTCTGTCGAGATGTTTAAGTCTCGCGTAACCCGTGATGAAAATTGTATTAAAAACTCAGAAGAAATTATTTTGTACCTAAGCTGTTAAATTTACGAAAAAATAGTGAAAAAAATCTAAATTGCATGTAGGATTAATTTTTTTTTATTGGAATTGGCTTTTAATAAAAAAGGTTCTGAAAAATAAAAAAAAAGTCTGCTACCGTTCAGAAACATGAACTAACAAAAATAGGTAGCCCTAGAGGATAATGTGTACCAAAATTATAATTTAAGATTAACCTTTCCAAAAAATTCAAAAAAAAAATCGCCATTCTGAGACATACATTTTCGCCGAAGGTGCCCAATATTGTAAATGGTTGATAGAACTGAAAATAGAACACCCTGTTAAAATATTGGAACATCATTACGACACTACTTTAAATGAAAATTGTGAATTTAAAACATCGTAGGTCGCAAATCGGAATCTGAAAAGTCAGAAATATCTGAAATAAGTTGTAGAATAATTTGAAGACTCTGAAACAAATCTCAAAAATTATTAAGACCATCCCGACACTAAAATGTGAAAACAACTACTTGGAGATTTGAAAACAGCCTGTCGTCGTCGGGATCCGAACCCAGACATCGTTGTTCTCTAACCAAAGGCCCTTACCACTAGACGATGATGACATTGACTGTAGATTCCTAGATGAAATTTGATGTGCTAGTTCGGGCCAGACGCCATTACAGGCTCGTTCTCAAATTTTCAAATACCTCTCTACAGCATGGTATAATATATGGAAAATTCATTGATGCATACTAAGCCTATATCTTCGTCTGCATGAGTTTTCAATGTACGTTAAGCGAATTTCGATTTGCGATCTACGACATATTAAATTTACAATTTTCATACTCATGTTTACGTCGCTTAACGTACATTGAAAACAACTCACGGAGATGAAAATATGGGCTTAGTGTGCATCAATGCATTTTTCATATATTCCCAAGGTTGTAGAGAGGTATTTGAAGATTGGAGAACTAGCCTGAAACGGTGTCTGTCCCGAACTAGCACATTAAATTTCTGTCCAGGAATCTCGACAGTCAATGTCGTCATGGTCTGGGGGTAAGGGTATTTTTCTAGAGAACAAATATGTCCCTTTTTTTCAAATTTCCAAGTATTTGTGTCCACCTTTGAGGTTCGGAGATGGTCTTAATAATTCGTAAGGGGATTTTTGAGATTTGTTTCCGAATTTTCAAATTATACTAATTTAACTCTTTTGTGACCTATTTTCTAAGATAAAACAATTAAAAATTACATTTTCTTAAATTGCTAGAATGTATAGATTAACACGTTCACTGTCCTACGGCCCATATATGGGTCGTAAATTCATTTACCTATAAGTCCTGCGAACCATATCTGGGTCGTAAATGTATGTTTTGATATAGCTTAATATTAAGAAGGACGTGTCAGTAAATTATTGCTTTCTTTAAGAGGACTCTAAGGGAAAAAACTACATTTTGGTAAAAAAAAAACATTTTATTCTATCAAAAAATAACCGAGTTACGGCATATCCAAAATGGGGTTACAAAATAATGAAAATATTCTTATTAAAAGTGTATACAAAGGAAACAGAGGGAAAAATCAATGATTTCCTGCGTAGCAAGAAATACAAAATGCTTGATTGCACAAACCGCAAAAGGTTGAAACTTTCTTAGTTTTTTTTTTACATGATTATTTTGATGTAAGAGTATTTCTCAACTTAGTATAACACTCATGACAGCATTTTCTGTATATTTTGTCATGGCTACCTCCAGGTAGCTCTTCTAGCTTATGGGCTCCCTCCTCTTGTTTTTTTCCTCATGCTTTTGTTGCCTTTTCATCTTTTCATTTGTTTTGAGAAGGCTGCGAATAAGAGATTCTCTAATTTTTATCATTGATGACTGACCTTTCATTGGACGCACATAATTATACAAAATAAACGTATATGAGTGTCCCACAAATTATTTCAATGGCCAATGTTTTGAACCAAACCAAAGACTTTCGAAGACAAGTGTAATAACTAGATAATTGGTCAGAGATGTCTACCCCCTGCTTTCCCTTGTTATACTCTTTTTCTTTCATTTGATGATCATGGCACGTGGAAAGCATATGGACATCACGTTGATCGTGCCACTTGAAGAATGTTATAAAATTATTTTGTTTGGCAATTATCTGTCCTTTTTTAAGTTTACAGTTGACTACATCTTTGGACAGGCCTATTCTATTTTTTCTTACGGTTCCTAACAAATTTGTTTTCCTCTCGTAGAGGTATTTGACAAGTTCAATGCTAATTGTCAGTTATAACCAATCTTCCAGCATTTAACAAGGAATCAACTAGTTCAACAACTGTACCACCAAGATCTAGTTTTTGGCGTCTTTCATTTTGTCACTGTAAATGGCGTCTTTTATTTAGTCACTGTAAATGGCGTCTTTTATTATGCCACTGTAAATTTTTAGATCCCAAGTGTATCCAAGTGGAGAGCACACTTTGAATAGTTTGATACAATATCTATAGGTTTTTGATGGTTTATACTGACGAAACTTCAGACGACATCTGAAAGAAACCATGGTTTCGTCCACAACTGTATCACCAAGAGAATGCGCATTTTTTAGGTTATTTCCAACAAGATTCAACAAATGTGCAATTTTTGACAAGCGGCCTTCTCAAGGTATTGTTTTGTCTTCGAAATGCCAACATTTCAACAACAATGTAAAATGGTTATACTTTATAGGAAGTCTGTGGAAAAGTGCATGGTAATACAATGGATCGTTTTTCCAGTAATACTCTATAGTGGGGAAGTTTATAAATCCCATAAGCAGGAGCATACCTAAAACAAACAATCATTTCTTCTTTGTCTGTATCGTTCCATCTAGAAATTCTTGCTGAGCGTACTAAACGTTTTTTGCGTTGGTGTTCTAAAGCATAATTATTTGTTTTTTCGACCATTAGCTCAATAATATCGTCAGTTATAAACTAAAAATATCTATGGGTTCCATATCTTGAGAAATTTGCATGTTTGTTTCACCTACTGCATTAAATGTAAATCTTGAAAACGAGAGTATGGTTGACAAGCAGAAATCGGGATCACTCTCATTCATTTCATCTTCTGAAACTTCACTAGTTTCTTGTTCACTTTCATCTTGAATGTCACTATCATCCGTTTCTTCATTAGAACTTGAATCACCATTTTCATTTCCGTAATGCGGGTCGCCACACTGTCGTCTAAATCAAAATCACTGGCAGAATTTATTTCGGATAGATTTTACGCGATATCTTCTAACTCTCTTTGCATTAGTTTACGTTTTATTCCGGACATGGCCTTGTTTTTAGGAGGAAATACTTTCAACTGAGTAACACAACACACCTGTTTGCACGCTCCAGAAAGACTACCAAACAATATTGGCGAGCTGAAACACAGAACACGTGCTGATTGCGAAACGTAGTCAAATATTCAAGGTTTTAGTTTACCACTCACATATAGAACGTAGGTCGCACATCTAAATTATCACAGAGTCCTGCGAACCACATATGGGGCATACAAATTTAAGTGGGGACGTGTAACGGTTTGCGGAAAAATAGCATTAGGACAGTGAACGTGTTAACCTGTTTCAATAGACATGTTATGAAAATTATTTCAAAAAACATTAAGACATCAAACTCCATATAAACAGCATTTTGTTAAAAAATACCATACAGAAAAACGTTATAGATTCGACAACTTCGTTTGCCGTCTTTAGGCTTTAATGTTTAGTAAAGGACCTCCCACACTTTTTATATTGATTTTGGGTACTGTCAGAATTTATTCAAATTTTAGTATGTTACTTTTTAGGTCATTATGGGCAACTTTCTTATGGATCTCAAGTTTACAACTTTACAGGGTGAGCTGTAAAAGTAAAGAGTACAAAACAATATTGTCACATATATATCTACCACTCTTAAGTGAAATTATGGCATGTGTTACATTTATAAATAGTTTGTTAATGCTTACTTCCACTTTGTAAAATACATCATACAGAGTGTTAAAAAAAGTAGGAATATTAAATACTGAAATAAGGTGCATTTTCATGTATTTCCACAATTGGAACATGACTTCTGATCATTTATTTCTTATATTAAATACTTATATTTATTAATATTACAGGGTGTGACAGAAAGACATAAATAATATTTAATATAAAAATATAGATTTTTAGACTTCCCAATAAATTATAAATCAGTATAAAAGAAAAAAGAAACTGCATTTTCGCAAGATCCATAAACTAGACACTTCAAGCTTCAAACTGCTTTTTTTTTTTTTTTCATTCAGGTACGACCATTTATACCAAAGATACAGCCACTCGATAAATCGCAAAAATCGAGTTTTTTGTTTGATCCCTTAATTTTCTCCACTAGTGTATTGCAAAAAAACGAAGGCACGCTATATAGAAAGTTTCCTAGCAAAAATAAACTATCTACTATCAAAAATTTCTAATAACAAACTTTTAAAATTGTTCCTAATAATATAGCCCAAAATAGAATTCAGCATTCAGGTGTATTAAGTCACCAAATACATGTGTCAGGAGAGGAATTTTAAAGTTCACTTATGGTTTTAACAAATGTAAAGAAACCATGAATTTACTAAATATTGGAGTCTTTGCAAAAGTCAATTGTTTGGTTCATTTATTTCGATTTTTTGTTATATTTTTACTTTAATGTGACTTAACATTATTAACCCCAAATTTACTTGGCTTGTGACTTACCGAGTGTTCCATCATCTTTTGGCAAAATTATGCAACTAGGGAGTTAAGGTAGTTCACTCGCGACAGTTGTAGATAAAAATAACGCATAATGGTGAATACCAAAAGTTCGATATTATCAATGCTA